TTTGCAGAAGTTGCAGAAGGTAGAAAATGACAAGGAAAAGAAAGAGTGGAGAGAAAAGAAAGCCAGGTGCGGGGGCCCAAGTATATTACATACACACTTATATAATATTTAGCAGAATCTTTGACTTTTGAACCTCTTTTGCAGAAGGTAGAAAATGACAAGGAAAAGAAAGAGTGGAGAGAAAAGAAAGCCAGGTGCTCAGAAGAAGGGGGCCCAAAAAAGAGATGGTAGCACACCTTCATCCAGAACACGTTCACAGAGCCAAACAAAAGGCAAGCAAACTAGTCACCCAAGCCCGGCCAGATCCAGATCCAGATCCAGATCCAGAGGCCATGGACGGCACAGCACGGGTGCAGCAGAGCCTGAACCACTGAGTAAAGATGTTCAGACTCAAACAAGCTCAAGTAGGCTTGAAAACAAGGAGACTCAGACGGAGACTGTCAGTCAAGCAACACAGCAGACACAAACAGAGCTCAATGGCAACACAGAGACCACAGAAGTGTCACAGCCAACAGAACGCAATCCTGAAGATGTTAAGATGGAGGTAGAAACTGGCCTGCCAAAGAACAAAGGAAATGAAAGCGATGGAGAAAAGAATGAAAGTGCTGAGAGGAAGAAAAGAAAAGTGAGTGAAACAAAGGAACCTACAGAGGAGACAAAAGAAAGGACCAAACTATCAGATGGCTGCAGAGAACAAGATGAAGATAAGCAGAAAGATGCAGACACAAAGGAAAAACATTCAGGAGGAGATTCACAGAAAGACCCAGTCAAGTCAGGAACAGAAGAACCAAAATCGTACGCAGCAGCCGCTACAGCAGGAAATACTAAAGAATCTAAGGAGAAGAGAAATCAAACAGCAGAGAATCAGGCCAGCTCAATGGAAAGCAAAAGAGCTCAGAGGTTTGTAGCCTTGTGCTTATGCCAAATGTTTGACTTAAGTAGATGTATAACTTCTGTTCTGATGCATGCTTTCTATTTTTTGTTTGTTTTTAATTTTATTAGAAAACCTTCCCCAGTGAGGCATCCAGCTGAAGCACCAATGTTCACCTTTTACATTTATGCTGTTCTGGACAAAAGATTCCGATTTAACAAATTGTATGATTCCCTGGTGCTCGTTCCCCTTCAAGGGAATGGAACTATTAAACTAGAGATTAAAAACTTTAGGTAAGTTTCTCATTAATTTCCATTTTCATTTCATTTCCTATATAGAGTACACACACACACACACACACAATTGTCTATAGTGTAGACTGGCAAATGCAATATGCACGAGAACATGTAACTGATGTTAAGTAATGAGAGCTTTGCTTTGTAAAGTGTGAGTATATTTTATGGTCATGTTATTTCTTGTTACTTAGGGGCCTACGCCAGGATGGCTATTTGATTGAAGCAACATTTTCAGTTCCAGAAAGCACTGTGAGGGGTTGCACAATAAAATATAGGTATGCAGTGCATCAGAGACAAAAGCAGACCATGGAAATAGCAATGAGATTTGTTGAGATCCCTGCTGACAATACTGTGAAAGGTACCGAAATCTGAAAAAAAAATTTTTTTGGACTATTTCCTGTACATGGTGTGATAATAATGCCTCATCTTATTGTTGCATTTCCAGAACTTCACCTTTATGAAGGCTATATAAGCTGTTCAAACCCAGTATCTGTTCAAGAGTGGTTAAAGAGTTGGTTTCAGTCTGAAAAAAAAGACATTTGCAAAGGCTGGGAGACCTCTGCTCGTGTGTTATTGGACAGTATTTTTCAGAAATGGCAGCCATCTAACCCTGAGAGGAACAAGACATTTATACAACAACTAAATGATTACAAAAAAGGTTTTCAACCAAGCTGGGTGCAATTCCCTGAGGGACTCGCACCATCTCCAATAAAAGTATGTGTGAGCTTTTTAAGGCTTTATTCCTTTTAAGAAAACTACAGCAGAGTAAAATGACTATAAGTGGACTCATTTTTGTTTTAGGTCTCAGATCTCATTTCTGCTAAACTAAGTATGATTTTGAAAGGAGATTCAGAAGTAAAAAAATCAGAGAGCTCAACTGGGATCAAATCATTGCAAGTGGCCCTCTCAGTGTTCCAGGTGTGCCAGGCCTGTGGTGTGGATCTCAGCACAAAGGACTGGGGTAAACTCTGCCAAGTTGTCTCTAAATGGACTGCTTCTCTTGGGGAAATGCAAACAACCCTAACAGCTATACCATTAATTGACTTGTGAGTAAGGTTTATTTGACAAATCTATGGTTTTAGAGAATTTGATTTTATTTGTATCCCTTAATACACAGTATAATACAAAGGTTTTCCTAATGAATAGTTGCTATTGTTTACATATTTAGTGGTTATGTCTTAAAAGACACCACAAAAATCATCATAATTGTGATGTCTTTACAGCACTGTGTTGGGACTGATGAATCGTTGTGCAAAGAATCTGATCTCAGAAGTGGTGTTACTTGTTCCTGTCCTTCATTTACTGAGAAAGCCAGGGGCAAAGCCAGATCCAGGCTCAGCTATGAACGAACAGAGATGGGCAGGGCTTGAAAACATAGAGTATCCATCTTTTAGGGAGAAAATTAGAGGATTCCCTGACAAAAGGAGGTCTGTCTGAATACTTTTAGAGGAGCATTTTTATTATCAAAATTTCATAATGACTTGAACATGAATATGAGAGATACATGTCTTCCTAAATTTGCAGCATGGTCCTTCGGCTGATCAAAGATCACTTATCAATGACCAAGGATAATCCTTACGTGTTGAAAAGCTGGCTTTCCATTGTGGCATTTGAGGATGTCCCTGAGTTTGTCCAGTTGACAGGGATTGATCCTGAACTCCTGATCCAGAGCCTGATGTATAGAATGAAGGAGACTGAACAAAACACTAATTCCAACCATACAGACAAAAACCTGGAGGTATCTGATGAAGGGCATATAGCTTGCTTTACAGGTTTTGCATTTGGCACAGAGAGAACATTTTCATACCAACAAATGTTTGCTTTTTAAATTGCAGGCAACTGAAAAGGTTCTTAACCTCTTGTTGAAGAGGGTTGAGGAGGACAGAGAACGGTACACAAGTTTATTAAATGTGGTATTTTTTGAACTTAGTAATCTTGTTCTTAAAATTTTGATATTAGGCAGGTATTAATGCAGAATTTCTTTAATTACAGAATCACAGATTCCAAGTCATCTGGCTTAATCCCTTGGTGTTGCAGAAATGTTCACAAGAGCGCTTGCAAAATCGCTCGACTTGTCCCACAATACAGAGTCCCAGTGCTCTCGTTCCAACTCCTGCTTAAAATGGCTGAAATTCATCATGATCATTTTTCAAAGGTACTGTATCAATGAGATCTTTGTGAAAGTAATTTTAAGGGTGGTATCTGCTCTGTAAGCAAACTATTTTCATTTGCAGGCTGGAGAGGAAATGAAACAAAAGCAAAATCAACTTTTGTCCATGCTTAATGACATTCAAATGGATTTCAGTAAATGGAGAGATGGGCTGCACAATCCTCTGATGCAGGAGTCCAGATTTGCTTACCCTAGAGAAATACAGGTGTAGTAATTAGAATAACTGATCAACTTAAAGGTTATGCTAGACTTTAAGAATGCAAAACTTCTTCAGACACTGTTCGCTGTTCTTTGAATTCCACCAGGAGGTCAATTTGTATCTTTTAGATCCTTTATCAGTCAAATGTCTTTGTACAGGTCAGAGAACTTGGTAGGTGACTGGAACTGCAAAATAGTAATTTTTGGTTTTGTTAATTCTTCTTTGTAGTTGTGGAATGAATTGTATGGGATTGAGTGTTCAATACCAGGCGTCTCTGAAAGCTGGAAGGGTTCATTGGACCGAGACCTGAGAAAGAGACTGTCCCATGTAAGATAAAAACTTTATTTTATAAGTAGCCTACATACATTGAAAATTGTACGCAATGTATGTCACCATCCTCCTTTTGTTTTTCAGATCTCTAACACTGACAAGATTGTTGTATGCTGTCTGGTGATGTCAGCAAAGACTATCGAGAATAGTCATGCAAACCTTCAGTCTTGTTTCAAAGAGATGTGTCAGGTTGCTGTTAAGAACCAGTGTCAGGTAATGTTAAATTTTCATGCTAAAAGAATTATATTGTTTATTATTTTAGCAGTATTGTTGTACTATATGTGTCACTCATTCTCTTGTTTTCTGTTTACAAAAAAAAAGAAAAGTGCATTGGTGTATTTGTAAATACTTGTACATCTTGTTCTGGTACCTTTTTGTATTTTTTTCTTGCAGGCAAATAAGGAAGGAGACCTTTTACACCATATTTTTACCAAGTCCATTTCATGGCCTGTTGTGTCCTCCATTATTGTGGAGTCAGCAGCTCGCTTTGGAGAGGATCATGAAGGTCGTCTACTGGACCCACAGTCAGCAATCAACTTCCTCTTGTCTCAAGGTGCAGTGACTGGGTCTTAAAAGTTTCATGGTTTTAATATGGTCTAACAACAAAGTGAACAGACAGAAAATGAACACTTGGACACAGTTTAAGAATCCTTCATGTATATACCTAAATACATTATGGGCAGCAGTTGTTAATTAACATTGTGTGTTATGTTTTATATTCACAGACAAATGGAATCAGTGGAAGTTGGAAGATGATGCTAGTCGTTTAATATCAGCTAGTCAATCATTCTTAGGTTCTCTAATTCAGACCCTTTGCCAGGGAAGTATACCCCTGGGCCACCTTAAGACCATCTTTAAGTCTAAAAGTCAATTTCAGAAGCTTTACAACCAGTGTAAGTGTTATGCACTAAGTATCATTACAACTTATAGAGGTCTCTTTCAACACAAGCTTATTCATCTTTTTGTTTATTTTGAAATTAGATAAGAAGAACAACAAAGAAGAGAATATCTCAATCAATGTGTCAGAGCTACTCAGTCAAAGAGAAGATGACTTGAAAGCCTTTGAACAACAGAAGGAGTACATGACCAACCTTATTAATATGCTGGGGAAGATTACTGATGTCATAGATAGTAAGGAAATTACCTTAGGACAGGGGTTTTCAAACTTTTTTTATGCCAAGGACCCCCAAATATGATGAACCCCTTGTGAGGGACCCCCTTCCTAAACTATGAAGATGAAAGACCCATTTATACTGTGTCTGAAGAGTGTGATATTATAAAAACAATGTGTTTCCAAAACTAAATAATTGGCATTTATTTTGTTGCATTACCTGGAGACAAAGCAAATTATTCAAATATTTTCTGTAAATTATTTACTTTGTATTAAGTTGACAGTGAAAATAAGTTTTTTTTTAGTGTTAAAAACGAAAGCCATCAATAGAATTACGGGGGGGAAAAATCATGATTAATGTCATGATTTCTGAATGAGAATAATATTAAAGTTGGTAATTGTATTTACACTAATTGCATTAAAATTGTCATGACTTTGCCTCAGTACCAGAGGTTTCTTCCCTTGAAGACATGGTCAAAACCAACCTGCAGACTGTAACTCTGGACAAACTGGTGGAAGTGCAGACATATTTCTCCAAAGAAGATCTTGGCAAAAACAACACAAGGCGAGTGTTATTCTACAATGTTGATCTGCTAGTCCTAGACATGGCACGGGAGATGCATGAAGTGAAGACCAGCAACATTATGCTATCTTTATGGCAAGAAAAGGCAACCAAATATTTTATGCCTGGTCCTCAGCTTTTGTCACTAGACCTTACAGAAGTCCATGACAGAATCTGGAATCATTGTCTCACTGACTTCCTCGAACTTGGTCTACGGATTGCAGTTGGAGAAACTTGTTTTAAAGAGGTGGACCAAGCTTTGAAATGGTGTGGGGACAGGGGTGAAGGAAATCGTTTAAAGAAAGAGCTAATTTTGTTGGCCACTATGCTGAAAAGCCATACGTCTCTGGAAGAGAAGTGGCCAGAGCATCGTCTCAGTCAGATTCAGGAATACAAACGCCTTTACCATGCTGCGGAATCTGCTGAGGTCATACTAAAAATAAAACATAGGTTGGGATTACAAGGAGACTTCAGCCATATTCATAGCCTGATTCAAGTGGTAAGAGACCAATCATTATTGTAATTGCATTATATTTAGCGTGTTTCTATTTTTGTTTAGATTTGTGAACATTTTATTCTTCTGTATATAGAGAGATGACTCATTCAAAGAAAACACTCTGGGTTCGCTG